TCACACTCTTGAGGAAATTGTCTACGCATGTTTCTGGCACTTTCCATGCGGATGCATGTGTGGGATTTTCGCTTATCCATTATTAATACATGATTTCCAAAAGTGTGGAACACAAATTTGCAATTTGCTCAAGGATTTGCTGAGAGTTGGAAGTGAAAGAGGCGTGAATTAGCTGCAATTGCCAGTCTGACACGATAAGCATTTCCCTTTGCCATTTTCCCATTTTCACATTTTACCCCCCCCCACTACCGACCACCTAGAATAGCTGGCATATGGATTTCCGTTGTCCGTTCGCCGTTCGCCGCTTTGCCGACTCTGACTCCGGCCGTGCCTTATCTCGCGGCTGTGTGCAGGGGCCGTGTCCTGTCCTGATGTGATAATCCGCAGGAATTAATAAATAAACCATTAACAAATAAACTAGAGACGTGGCAGAGGCACGGGGCACGGGGCACGGGCCATGAATGTGCGTGCCGCTTGGAACCCTTATCAACGACGGGCGGCAGGTCCACCATTCCACCACCCCCCTGCGACAGACAGACTTGACTTTCTGCAAACATCAGCAAATAAAATCCAAGGACTCACACCCCTTACGGATCTGTGATGCAACATTTTCCAGTGGTGCAAAGATCTGCTATCTGTAGGAAATTTACATTGTGCCCACTGTACTTGCGCCATGCTCCAAAGCAGAGGTCAATGTTTGCCCATAAATTGCCACGAAGGAAGAGAGTCAGGGAAGCAAGGTCTGAGAAGGGGCGTGTCCACCTCTAAAAAGAAGTGACGACAAAATGCAAATGGCTTTTGTGCGTGTGTGTGTGTGTGTGCTTATATGTATATATTTATGTATCTTTGTGTACGTTTCCTCCCAAACAGAAACTCCAGTCAATTAAATAGAAATAAATGAATAATTGATAGTTTTCAAAGGCTACCAGAAGTCTCCGCTCTGCAAGCTCTGCCTTGAACTCAAAAACCCATTGTAATTAGTGTGGCAAACAAAGGGAGAGAGAGGGAAAGGATTATGGAAAGAGCAAACCCCCAAAAACCTGTGTCGGAATGTCATTTGAATAATTTAAATTGTTAGACGCGTTCGATGGCCAGACTTTGACACTGACCATGCAGCACCATTGCTCCATGGTGGCATGCCACCCTCAAAAAGGGGACAGACCGACAAGGGGGGGTCGCTGGGCGGTTTAGGATAGCCACAATGACGTTAATGACAGTGACGAGCGGTTGTTTGCCTCAGTTCTCGACCAAACATTCGACACAAACAAACAAATCCACTGCACGCACGTACTCCAGGCGACACACTCTCACACCGATAGCGCACACACTCACACTCACACACTCATAAAAAAAACAATCAAAATGCAAAACGAAACCAGGCAGAGCAAAGAGAGAGAGAGCACTCCCAGTTGGGAGTGTCTGTGGATGTGCGTGGCGTGCAGCGGGGCATGCACCACCACCAGGAGGATCAACAACAAACACAAATGGTTCCTGATTGCAGCCAGGAAGCGGCTGAAAGAGGTCGCAAAGGGGAGCTGCAGTGGGGCAGATGAGGCAAGAGGCAAGCGGCCGTCTCTCTGTCTGTCTGTCTGTCTGTCTGGCTATGCGACTAGAATTCAACATTTTGCCGCCATTAAAATCAAATTGCACTTTCGTGCAGCAGCACAGGCCAGGGATACCCCAAAACCTAAGGAAAGATGGGGATGGGGCAGAAGGCAGACGGGAGCAGAAGGCTGCACGATGAGGCAGGAGACAGCCTGGCAGAAGGTACAGAGCCACGAGCCGCGTCAACGTTTTGGCAATTTCAGCAAAAATATTGCTCGAGTTTTTCCGCCTGCTGCTGCATTTCCATTTGCCACTCCTCCGTTGCTCCGTTGCTCTGTTCCTGTTTTTTTATGATTAATAAAAGCCAAATGTAAATAGTAAAAACGAAATGAAAGCAAGCGTCGCACGGCGACCTTCAAATGGGTGCAACGTTGGGATGGGTTGTGATGGGATGGGTTGGGATTGGAGGGGGGTTTGACAGAACTCTGCATCTCTGGCGCATTGCCGCACACCCTCCCACTTGTGTACATCCCACCTCGCATCCCCCTTTAGGACTTTCGCTTAATTTCTATTAGCATTGCGCGCTGTTGCCATTGCTTTTGCTGCTGTCTCCTCGTTTTTCATTGCTGCGGCACGCGGCACAGGTTGTTGCTGAGGTTACCCCAGAGTGGGGGAGGCAGTGCCAGTGCCAGTGCCAGTGCCAGTGGGTGGATGGTTCAGGGACTCTGCAGCTGTCTGGCTGCCTTGATTGTTTGTATTTCTCATGGCACTCGATGTCAGTCAAAATCGCTTCGTTTCTCCCTCTCTGCCATTTGTCGTTCTCTGCCCACTCCTTCCCACCCCTTCTCCCACTCTCTGGCTATGGGCTACCCCCGAAAAAGTATGCAACATCAAACTGAAACACCAACCGCCGCCCCCCCACTCCCATTTGCCCATCTACCCATCTACCCATCGACCCATCTAGCCATTTAAGCAACCAATGAACCCACCCACTTTGTTCTGCTGTTTGTTTTACAACGTTTTTAACTTGTTTGCAAGGATTAGGTAAGCAACTCAAACAGACAACGACGAGCAAGAGGAACAGGACCCATCAGCAGTGCCAGTGCCACGGCCAGGTCCCATTGCCATCCTGGATGCAATGGCAACTCATAAAAATAGATAAAGACAAGGCCTCCAATCTGAACCCGAACCTGAACCTGTTATCGCTGCCTGGGTGGTCTGCAGGGTGGGTGTCGATTGCTCTGACTGGTTAGCTAGCTGGCTGCCCCCCTACACCGTTCAACAGTTCCTGCCAACATTAAATGCATCGAATTACATTTTCTATTAACCAGAGCGGGGGAGCTTGGATGGGTACCCGTAACCAGGGACACCCCGCCGAGAGGGGGGCCGCCACGCAACGGGATCGTGTGGCTACTTTGTGTGCGCCTTCTTGTGCGGGTGTGTTGCACAGTCTATTGTATTGTGGGGCATGCAGCCCTTGGCAAATGTTGCTCGTTTGTTTGCTGCTTGTTTTACAATTCACTTTTTTAACGCTTTCGCGCTGTGATTCCAACGTCCTGCCAGCGGGCTTCAGCTTCAGCTCCAGCGCCAGCTCCAGTTGCTGCCACGGCCACGGCTATGGCTACGGCTACGGTTCCGGGGTCTGACATTGTTATGCGGCGCCTTGAACCTTTTACAGTCAGCCTTGGTCCCTGCCACTGCCTGCGCCCTGTCGCTAGCGTCTTTCTCTGCCTCTCCATCCCGTCTTGATTGCATAAGTTTTTTGTGTTGCGCTTTGGCTAAGAAGCCGCTGGCTGCACGCCGTTTAGTTCCCAAAAACCCCTGCCTCCGCCCTCCCTTCACCAAACCCATCGCATTGGTCTGACTTTAAGTTATGAAAAGTTTTGTCGTTGTTTTGCCTTCTGCCTTGGATTTTCGTAGCTCGTTTCTTTTGCTGGTTTCTTTGGCTGGCGCCGTGTTGGGTGGTTTTTCCACGTATTTGGTTCCTCTTTAAGCGCACATTAATCAAAGTTTTTCGTTGGCTTAGACAAAGTTTGAGGGCATTTATAAGGCAATTGTGGAGCTCGTTTCGTTCTACACGACAGGTGTGTGTGTGTGTGTGTGTGTTTGTGTGTGGGAAGGTACTGCTCCTGCTGTTCCTGCTGGTGCTCCTGGGGGTGTGGTCATGATCCTTTGACGACTGTATTGGACATTGAAGCCATCTGGCATTAGGGCCACAAATTGTCTTGGCCTCTACACAGAGCAGCAGGCTGTCAAAACAAAAACCAACGAAAATTCCCGAACAAAACTTTCCCATTCTTGTGGCCAAAAGTGGACGTCCGCCCATCCACTCCTTCGTCTTGGTCGTGGTCGGCATGGAATGGAATGTTCAGGTCAAGTCGAGCTGCATAAGCAGGAAAAGTAAACTGAATGACTTGCCACTCGACTACAGTCGACTGTCTGAAGGTTAACGCACACCAACATACACCCCAGACACACAGATACTCACTGAGACAAAGCCTAATTGTCAGTGTCTGGCCGTCCTGCCACAAAACACAACCTTACAACCGTAACTTCCCCCTCCTACCCCGCTTTGGGTCAGTCCCCGTAGGCCCTGTCTGAGTGACTTATGTCTGGCGTAAGAGAACTTTTTGCAGCATACAATGTTGCATTGCAAATTGAAACACGCGACGGCCAGCGATGCTATGCTATGCGGGAAATATATAGAAAAACAAACACAGCATGAACTCTCTATATTTAAAGACATTTCTCGACTGTCAGATACCTTAAATATATATTTGTATATTGGTCAAAGATCGGAGAGTCGAAAGCAGACGCAAACTGTTTATGGAGCTCTTCTTCTGTTAACATACATGACCACAAGCAGAGCATACCACGAATAATCTACAGGGTATAAGCAGGATTTCCCACACACACACACACACACACAGACACACATGCATAGCTGCAGTTACTACTACAAGCATATGCATAAATAATAATGCACGAGGAATAGCTTTAAGTGCAAGCGTCTGCTAGGCCCTAAGCTCTGTTCCGCTCCGCTTTGCTCTCCTCCAATTCTGCTTGTTTTTTTTTGTTCCTATTTTATCGTCTGTTTTTCTCTCTTCTCCCCTGCCCTTCCCCTACTCAGACTCTTCACTCGTCTAGCCGTCTGCCTCTCGCCTTAGCTTATCCTATAACAGCGAACGGGGGGGGAGCGGAGCGAGTGCTTTGTGTGCACTTCAGCTTTGAATGTGTCTGCATTTACCCTTGAAAATGTAGCCATTGTTTTGCTGCAGACTCCAACGTTGCACGTTGCACGTTGCACGCTGCACATTGCAAATGAGTTCAATACACTTGGCATAAACATAAACATTACTGGGAAATCCACTCTGGCCATGGGATATTTGCCTCTCCCCAGTGCGCAAACTCCGACTAATAATTCTCTCTTTTTGCACGCTCTCTCCCGCTCACAGGTGTCTGAAGCAACAGCCGAAAGGAAGCAGAAACGAAGCCCGAAGCCAGCTCGTGGATGTGCATGAGCCGAATGCCATCGTCGTTGTCGTCGTCGTTCTCGTCCTCCGTGTGGGTGTTTATTTAACACAGTTCCTCGTGCGCCGCCCGTTCAGTTCGTGTCCGAAGTCCGTGCCGTACGCGCTGCCTCAGACCTCCAAACCAAAGCGCGTGAATTCGTTGAAAGCAGAGAGACAGTGACAGAGACGTAAACGTAAACGTAGATAGTCAGGTGTCGCGTGTGAAATGTGAAGAGTCGCTCAAGATCGGTGCATCCGTAACCAAATGTCGCTCAACGTTAGCCTTGCTCAAGCTCCGCACTCACACATCACACACACGTAGTGGACCAATAGTGCACCAATCATCCAGTAATCCGCAACAGTCGCGAGTGCCCGAACGAGAACTCTATAGTGCATCAAGAACCAAGGAAGACAATACAATGTGCTCCGTGGGGAACCTGCGCCCCCAAGGCGCAGACACTGGCCGCAATCGCCGCCGCTCACACAGCTCCCACGGCCCCCTCAATCGCCTTAGCCGCCTGAGCGCTCTGCTCCTCGTGCTGGGCGCGCAAATAATTTATGTGGAATATGCTCGGGCGGATTATGAGAACACTTGGAATTTATATTACGAGCCGCCCTGCTGCTCGGGAACAGCTGCCGGCCATCATCTGCGGCACCACAAAGGTAAGTCGGAAAGGAAGCTTTTGCTGCTTTGCTGCTCCGCAGAACGGAGTCCCTTGCATATTTCATGTCGCAATTTAAGTTGAGGTAAGTGAGTGAGGAACTCGGCTAATTTGCGGCAAAGCTTAGGTCTGGCATAATCAGTCCCCAAAATGTAGTTACCCATCTTAGATGCGGCATACAGTGGAAGTCCTTTCGCATTTTCCTAGAATAGAATTCAGTCGTAGGCCCAACCTGATTATTTTCCTTGGTTGTACACTCGGAAGAAACTCTTAACGGAGCCCGTAACACTGTGAACATTTTGCCCAGAGTTGGCATTGAAATATAAATTGTGCTACCGAATTTAAGAGCTCGCCAAATTTTTGCCAGTGGAGCCGCCGTCTGGGGCTCTGTGTGGAGCTTGGCTTGTTATACAAATAAAATGGCTTAAACGTTTCTCTTTCTGCACTTTGTTCAGGCATTCACATTCTTGGCCAGCTAAGCCCCGGCATACAAAACTATTCACAACAATAGGCTTGGGGTTGGGATCGGGTTGGGGTTGGCGTTGGGCTTTGGGGCTGGTTTCGGGTAGGGTTCCATTCGAATCGAACTTTGGGAAATAAGTCAACAGCTTACACAGCCGCGAATGCCAAGAAGTTTCTTCTATGTGTGTGTGTGTGTGTCCCTCCTTTTCTCTCCTTTTTTTTTCTTTGCCCAAAAGGAATAATTTTCACTTTAAGCGGATTTGCTGTTGCCGCCCACGTCTGATGGTGCGATGGTGTGCTGCTGATTCGGGTGCTGATTCTGATTCTGCTGCTGTTGCTGCTGTTGCTGCTTTTCCTTGATTTGCCATTTCGGTCCACTTCCGTCGGCGACGTCTGTTATCCTTTTCATCGTGTCTCGGGGTCTCCTGGCCATTTGGCAACCGGGACTCGTACTGTTCGCCCACTGCCATTGTTTTGCCATTGTTTTATTTCATCGGCAAGACATTTCTCTTCCGTGTGTATGTGTGGATGGAGGGGAACTTATAGACTCATTCGCGCGCAGCAGCCTGCACTTCCTTCCACTTTACTTTTCCGGGAGTGCTCTACGGTCCGTTTCTCAACGCCACTGTTCTGTTCTGTTCTGTTCTATTCGGTTCTTTTCTGTTCGGTTCGGAGTGAAATTAAAAACTTTTGCCTTTTAGTGCAGTCGGTTGTTTTGTTGTTTGTTCAATTGCAGGACCTCTCTACACTGCCATACAAAATCTTCCGCACAGAACCCCATCTTGACCGTCACTTCCGCCACTTAAGATGTGTTTTATTTTCTCTTTCTGCTCTCCTTTTTTTTCAACTATTAGTGTTTAATTAGTTTTCAAGTGGAGTTTTTATGGACCCAAAGCCGGGCTTATCCCCGGCTGAGATTTGCTGTCCACACAACAGTTGACCAGCAGCTTTTCCGCTTTTCCTTATTCTCCCTGTTACTGGGGGTGCTGCTGCTGCTGCTGCTCTAGTCTATATATAATTAAAACCCATTTCGCATATCGGATAAACGTGCACTGTAATATAATCTACCGCACACAAAGTAATCCGCTTGGCTCTCTAAGGATCGTTGCTGCAAAATGAAGTTATAATGAAAAAGTTTTTAATATTCACGAGGTATTATGACAGACCAGACCCACACCCATCCCCTCCGACACCCACACCATTATGTGTGAAAATTATCCTTTGTTAAGCATTTTTATTTACATAAACAATTTTGGTTGCGTTAAAGATTTCCCTTTTTACAATTACCGAAATCTTTCGTGGGCAAGGGGGGACTTTCCGGCCACAGAAATGCAAACAGAAACGAAACAGAAAATTTCAAGCGCCAAAACTTTGCCGGGACCCAAAATGGGTGGGAAAATGCGTGGATAGAAAGCGGCAAAGATATTTTCAACTTCATAAAGGTTGCGAGACGGGAAAATAAGCAACAAAAAATAGCCATACCACCCCCGCCCCAAAGAAGGGGAAAACCAGAGAGAGGAAAAGAAAGAAAGCATATCAGATGTTTGCGTTGTTAATTAAAGAAAAACAAGCAAAAGTTTAATGGCGAATATTAGCGGAGGGCTGTCTGCAGCGGACCCACACCTTGGCCGTAGCGTGAACCTGGCCAAAAGCTGCGGCCGTTGCGTAAATAGAAAAAGCTACAAAAAAAAACCACTCCGAAAAGGGGTGCAAAAATACACAAAAAACTTGGCTACACTTTGGTTCACTCCTTATTTCCCCCAAGCACGCAAAGCCCCCCCACCCAACCAATCTCCCAGAAAAAGCGGTGGAAAAAGGAAAAACAGGGAAAGGAAAATGAAAACTGTTCATTCCTCTCGTAAACTTAAAGAATTTCGGGCATTTAGCGCTGCTGGCAGCCAGCAAAAGCTGTTGTTTTTCCACTGTTTCTTTTTGGGCTACAAAACGAGAAAACTTTTCTGGCCAGGTTCGGGTGTTTTCCGGCCAGGTATGTGAGCTAAATTAGCCCTGGCTCAGCTCCGCAATTAAGCAGCAATTTTCAGCAGTAAGCGGCTAAAAGGAAAGACACGACCCGAACAGGCCAACAGGGGCTCCTCTCAGGTCCATCAGCACTTTAACATACAGTCGAAGGGCCCCTGTGGATGCTCGGAAACAAGTCGCAGAGGCTAACACAATCGATACGTGGCTGCCAAGCCGTATACGTGATGTTAGGAAATGCAGGAAATTTAAGAAAAATCCATATCTCCCACACATTATCCGCCTGCTAAGAATAGCAGGACTGCCTCACCTGTTTCTCTGGAATATTTGCGTTTGTGCCTAAGGGCAGCCTCTCCTGTAACCTTATCCAAAACCAAATTGGGCTTAGGTCGTAATTTACAATGTCGCATTGACCTGATTTCCTGGCTGCTGTTGCAAGTGGCTTCTGCCGTCTGACCTTATCCAACAGATTCATTAGCCAACTGCAAGTGCCATAATTCAACATATTTCGTAAGTACAGGGAGAGGGAGAGACGAAGAGTGTGTGTAATATATCTTAATGCAGAGACAAAGCCAGACGTAGATGTGTGGCACAAATGTTGGTGCACCGCAGCCTCTAAAACAGATACAGTGAGAGATACAAAGATACAAAGATACAGAAACACACGAGCTGTTGGCGGGGTGTCTGAGAGTGGGTTTGTGTGCGTGTGTGAGTGTGTGCTTGGCATAGGAGAACTTTAAGCAAAGAGCTTCCTCATCAAGGACACAAGAGAAAACCGCAAAGAGGAGCCCTAGCTTCTTCGGGCAATGCCATCACATTTGTGGGGCTCAAGTTAATGAGGACAAATTAATTAAACCAGAAATGTCTGCACCACTAAATTTGATTATAAAACTTTACGTTTTTCATTCCAATTTTCATCTCCAGCTTCGCTCCGTCTGGATCTGTGTGTGTGTGTGTGTGTGCGGTTTGTGACATAAATTTGCCGACATAATGATGCTAAATATACATTTTCTTATACACCCGAAAAACATTAACCCGCCGCCTCATGAAATAACAGGCATTAAAACTTTGGTCTTTCAACTTTTCTTATGATGAAAATAAGAATGGAAATGGAATTGGGATTCAGAATGGGAATGCGAATGCGAATGGGAATGGGAATGAAAACTTGTTTATAGTTTCGGCTTAACAACTTACGGCGAAAGCCCATTAAAATTAATTCAATTTTATGTTAATGTCGAGTTTATTCAATTTATTTAAAACACGTGTCGCTTGATTTAATTAACTTTACACGACCGCTGCGGCTTCTGTTGGCAGGATGCTGCTGTTGCGGCACGCATGTTGCTGCTGCAGCTGCCGCTGACACATGATTGCCGTCGGCTTGGGGCCAGCTTCAACAGACCAGCGGCGCAATAACACCATACACTGACAACACACACGGCGGTTATTGTTGTCAAGCGTCGGCTTTTAATTAAACACTTTACACGATTATGCCATTGTTTAAACATTTAATGGAAAACAAATAACAATATGGCAGAAAAGTCTCACAGGAGGAGGGAATAAAATTGTTCAGGAATTGAAAAGAAAGAAAAGAAACCCACAAGCCAAAGAGGCAAGTCAAAATCCCAATCAGAACTAGATCGGAACAGCCAGAGCCAATATTTATTCCACTTTCCAGAACAGAACCACTAGCAAACCCACAGCAATAGATTTATCTTTAATTAGCTATGGCCATCAAAGACATTTCCGTGCAGTCCATAATTCTGAAGAGCTAACTAAAACTCCAGCAAATCATCAAAATGAATAATCACTAAGAGCAGCTATAAATTGCAAACTTTGGGCTCTGGCATTTGCACTCACATAAATACAAAATACATAAGTACACGCATGGAAGGCAGACGAATGTCCGAACGCCTCTCCATGAGGTACGTACATACATATGTATGGCTCAGTAAATAATCGAATGTCTGCACACAGACACCTCTCAGTGCACTTATTTACACTCGATTTCAATTATCTGTTCATATTTAGACACACCAACCACAAAAACATTGGTCGAACAACAGAAATATGTTCATTCATTAGTTGGTTGGTTTGGTGGCACGAAGGGTGGGTGTCCGAAACAAATATTCCAAGTGAAATATATTAAAGTTATAGCCGAAACGCTCGCTCTAACTCTGGATACGTACATACATACATACGTATGAAGGGGTGGCTTACCCAAGGGTAGCTGTGCAAAGCCTCCGTAAGGACAGGAAGGCCACTTTCATACGAGACCGATTTTAAGAGTGGACACCAAACTATTTTGACCGTTAGCATAAGGCACAGAAAGTTGCCCAAAAAGTGGTGGGGCGGACAAGGGGGCTGCTGCTTCCAGGGGTTGGTTGATTCCACAGCATATTGCAAAAGTTAAATTGGTTTATTGTCCATTTTTATGACACAGAAAAACTTTGTGGCATGCGAAATAATTGCATTAAGTGCAGTCCGGGTCACGTCATCGTCTCGCCCAATACTCTTCCCCGTCCCATGGATCGTACTCTTTCTGCATGGGAATGGCCCAATCAG